GACCCAGATTGTGGGGGCGATATGCTGACTCTGTAAACCGCTTAGAGAGGGCTGAAAGCCCTATGAAGCGGTATATAAGTCTAACTGCTATTGCTCATCCTGATGTCTGACCCAGATTGGATCTTGCAGCATTATCCTAAGACATGTATATGTATTTGCCTTCATTCACAAGGTATTCAGGTTCAAAGGAACTTTTCCTCCTCAGATGACAGAGTTGGAAGGGACCTTGTAGGCCAGGGGTTTCAAACTCAATTTCAATGTGGTTGACCTAGGGAGGGGTGCATGTGGGGTGTGGCCGACTGGGTGGGCATGTCCAACTGGCTGGGCGTAGCCAGCTTGATGCCACTCCCCAAACTGCTGGCATGTTTCCTCTTCACACTCGGTAGACCAGGCCGAAGCCACACTGGCCTCAATGTTTCCTCTTCACATTGGGTAGACTGGGCCAAAATGACGCTGACCAGCCCCTTACATTTTGCAGGATGGCCCCATGGGTCGGATCCAACCACATTGCGGGCCGAATCTGGCCCACGGGCCTTGTGTTTTGACACCCTTGTGTTAGGTCATCTAGTCCAACCCCCCACCCAAGTAGGAGACCCTGCCTACACCATTTCCGTGCCACTTGAAGGCGCTGCCAGTTTGAGGTCTGCCTTCCTGAGGCTGAGTTTGGGGGTCAACTCCTCTTAATACATAGTACAGGTAATCCTCGACTTATGACTTGTCAGAAGGTCGCAAAAGGAGAAAATCACGTGACCCCAGGACACTGCAACCGTGGTAAATATGAGCCAGTTGCCAAGCGTCCGAATTTTGACCACATGACCATGGGGATGCGGCAACTGTCATAAGCGTGAAAAACAGTCATAAGTCACTTTTTTTCAGTGCCGTTGTAACTTCGAGTGGTCACTGAATGAACTGTTGTAAATCGAAGACTATCTGTAGCACACTCAGAGGTTGACCACTTTTCACGTGACTCCCTCATGTGACTCCCGAATTGTATGAGATGGCCATATCTTGGGAGATGTTACAATCTCATTCCCAAATCTTACAAGGTTTAAAAGATATCATGGGATTTGGTCCATCAAGTCTTCCATCCTTCCGAGGTGGGTAAAATGAGGACCCAGATTGTTGGTGGCAAGAGGTTGACTCTGTACATCGCTTAGAGAGGGCTATGAAGTGGTATATAAGTTTGTTATAGCTTGGGAAGGAAGGAAGGAAGGAAGGAAGGAAGGAAGGAAGGAAGGAAGGAAGGAAGGAAGGAAGGAAGGGACTAAGGAAGGCATGGTGGCTCAGTGGTTAGAATGCAGTACTGAAGGCTACTTCTGCTGGCTGCCAGCTGCAATTTGGCAGTTCCAATCTCACCAGGCTCAAGGTTGACTCAGCCTTCCATCCTTCCNATATATATATATATATATATATATATATATATATATATATATATATTCATTGAGAAGCTGAATCCTAACACGGGACAATATTGTTGCCTTCCACTTTCAAGATCTTTTAAGTTCAATTTGTATTTCTGCTGTTGTTAGTGTCCTCACACCTTCCTCCCAGGCTGAGTTGGAAAACGAACAATTCTTTTATCTTTAAGTAGCTGGAGAAAGACAGAGGCCTCTAAGGAAGGCTGGGGGAATTAGGCTTCCATTTCACATATCTTCTCATGCAACCAGAAGATGGCCAAAATTGAATGCGAGAATGTGTTTGTGTTCACTTAAGAGTCTCATTTATGGCTTTGAAGTTCAGAAATGAAGCATACAATCTGCTGCTTGAAAGCAACAGGTTTATCCATATTAAAAAGATACCATTCGTTTTCCATCCAGCTGCTCAATTCTGACCGGCTCAAGGTTGACTCAGCCTTCCGTCCTTCTGAGATGGGTAAAATGAGGACCCAGATTGTTAGGGGCAAGAGGCTGAGACTGTAAACAGCTCAAATAGGGCTGTAAAGCACTGTGTATAAGTCTAAGTGCTATTGCTATTTTACTTGTTTTCCAAAATCACAGAAGGTCAGATGCCACTTAACTTGCCTGTTAATGTAGTTTGGGCTAATTTCTCTGCTCTTTGATTTCATCTAGATTTCCAACATTTGTCCGTAAATGATATATTTTTTAATAAACCAGCTGTTTATTTAATGGTTTGGGAAAGAGCGAACTCTTTTTACCTCTAAAAAACACACCTGTCTGTTTCCCTCCCTGTCCTGGCTTTTCCACCGAGGATTCTCTTTCACCCCAGTCTCCTCCTAGCTGCAAGCTAATGAACCTGACACTTCTCCCTTTTTGTTCTTTGATCTCTGTTTGACAGAGATTGCAGGTCAGTGGGAGAAGGAGAGAAAGAGCTCAAAGCCATCCTAACAATAGACTGACTTTCTATAGAAAGTCAGAAAAAAGGGGAGGGAGGGGAAATCACCGCCTCGGGCTGTGGGTGCAGACAAGTTAAGGAAAGGTGGAGAGAGAGAGAGAGAGAAGCTTTTGACAGCAGTGAGATACATGCGATGAAATAGCTGCATTTGCGCATTAGGAATGAAGGGAACTGTTGAAAAGGGCCAGTCAAAATTGTTTGGAGGGGGGATGCAGGGGGGGGGGGCGGAACAGCACCTCTGGTCAAAAAGGACGCCATTCTCATCTTCATCTTCTCAGCGAGATTTTTTGTCTTTGACCTCTTTGTTGCCGGCTGTCAGTTTCTATAATCCCAAGGCTTTTCTTCCATGACAAAGAAGTCATACCTCAGAGCACCTTTGAAGGTTCTTTCCTTTAAGTAGGTGCTTCACAAACACTCCTGCATTTTTTTGCCCTTCGCATCCTGTCTTTAACTTTTGCTTTGTGTTAGCCACACAAGCAGAGAGCCACAGGCGAGACCCCGAGATGCTCCAAGCCTTTGCCCACCCACCCACCCACCCCGCTCCCTACCCACCTTAGGTCATCTTCTTTCTTCAAGCAACATTATTTTTACCAAAAAACACCGCTAGTAACTTCGTGTGTTTTCACTTCCCAAAGGTGTATCTTTCACACATCGCCATAGTCCTGTGTGTCTGTGTGTGAGAGAGGGAGACACACACACACACACACACAGATACTCTCCAAAGTGGTAGGGAACAGTAGCACCAAATGAAAATGTGAGGGAAACAGAACATGAAAACCAAACTAAAACTAAAAAGACAGCAAAAACTTCCATTGTTTTGTGTAATAGTTTTCTATCTATTTCATCCTTGGGTCAATAAAAACAAGACAAAAAAAAAACCTTTGAGAAAATGGCGTCTACATTTTAGGGTGAATTTTGGAGGCAGGTATTTGCTGGCGTGGAATATCTTAGTGGTGGAATTCAGCCAGTTTGGGAGAACCAGTTGTTAACCTTCTGAGCAGTTTGATGAACTGGTTGTTGGAAGAAATCATTAGGGCAGAGAACCGGTTGTTAAATTATTTGAATCCCACCAAGCCTTCGTACTGGTCACCCAGGAATCGTTTTCTGATTTCAAATTGAGAATATTAGAAGAGCTTGAGACATTTTTTGCTGCCTCTCTCCCTGAATTCTTTCCTTCTTTCTTTTTCGTCTAGTAACTCGTCCAGATCTGGGATGTCGAGAGCTGGTAACCAGAAACATCTTCAAAATACTTCCCGGCCTCTGCCACGACATCACCGACTGGGTCGCAGGCACCCGAGTAAAGGCATCCCAGCTCCTGTTTATATTGTTACAGCACGCGGAGGACCATATCACACAACACATGGAACTCCTCCTGCGGACCTTGTACCGCGTGTGCTCCGATGAAGAAAGCAGCGTGGTTAGCAACGTAAGTGTGCTCCTTTCCAAATTCTGCTGCGGGAAGGAAGTTCTGCTACCCTCAAATTGACAGAGATTTGATCCAGCGAGAATATTTGGTTTGGTGGTTAAGGCACCAGGCGAGAAACCAGGAGACTGTGAGTTCTAGTCACAGGCATGGAAACCGGCTGGGTGACTTTGGGCCAGCCACCAGGAGACAGAGTTCTAGTCCTGTCTTAGGTATGAAATCCAGCTGGGTGGCTTTGGGCCAATCAGAAGGAGATGGTGAGTTCTAGTCCTGTCTTAGGCATGAAAGCCAGCTGGGTGACTTTGGGGCTGATCACCAGGAGACAGTAAGTTCTAGTCCTACATTAGGCATGAAAGCCGGCTTGGTGACTTTGGGCTCGTCACCAGGAGATGGGGAATTCTACTCCTGCCTTATGCATGAAAACTAGACTTTGGTGAGTTCTAATTCCGCCTTAGGTATAAAAGCCAGCTTGGTGACTTTGGGCCAATCGCTAGCCACTCTCTCTCAGCCTAATCCACCCACTGTCACTGGGCAGAATATAGGCAGATTTCCCAAGTAACCAGCCCAACATATTACACTGATTATAGTACCCATTGTGATTTGTCTTGAGCTGTGATTATTAATTTTATTTCAATTTGCACAGAAGTGGGATGAAAAAGATGTGGAATTGACTTTTTTCCCTGAAAGTTTTCAGAGATTTTTTTTCCCCGTGTCACAGTATCAGGCATCTCATGATTGATAATAAAATCTTCTGGGCCCCAAATCCCTCCTCCCCCTCCTGCTTTTAGAATATATAGGAGCTGACCCACAAGGCCGTTAATTTTGTTAATCAACCTATCCGGGTCAAAGCCTACGAGAAACTTTATACGGTACCATTAAGCAAAGTATATTTCTGTTTGATTACTGTACCGATCAGTGATGAGATTGTACAAATTGTGCTTCACCTGCGCTGCTGGCCAAGGTGGAGTATTAAGAGCCTTTCAGAAATCATAAGCAGGAGATTAAAATGTAAAAAACGCCTTTGGGGGATAAATTCCATTTGCAAGTTATGCGCAGTTCACAACCTTTCTAGTTAATTTCACCATATTATCTCTTTCTCCTTCTCTGCCTGTAATCCTCCCACAGTAATAAGGTATGCTGGCAAGAGCTCTGATGAAGATTCAAAATCTGGAGGCTTATGTGCTCCCAGCTTGCTGGTTCCCTTGTCTGGAAGGAACACAAGTTCCTTTTGTGGTTTACAAACAAACGTAGCAAGCAAAATACAGTTTTCCCCAGATGTTGTTATCTGTCAGCGGGATTATATCACTGGGGGCCATTCTTGGTGGCATCTCTTGAACCTTTGCAATTAGGAAGAGGCCAAAGTTTAAAGTGTCGAGTTCTAGATTCCCGTGTTTGTTTAACCCCTAAGCATCTCCGGGTAGGGACTCAAGGCAGTCCTTGACTTGCAACCACAATGGAGCCCCAAATTACTGTCGCTAAGTGAGACAGTTGTCAAATGAGTTTTCCCCCATTTTAGGGCCTTTCTTGCCACCGTTGTTAAGTGGATCACTGCAGTTGGTAACACGGTTCTTCTTAAGTTACTTCTTCAGTTAGTCACACTAACTTCACACTTAGTTGTGAAGTGAATCGGGCTTCCCCCATTGACTTTGCTTGTTAAATGGTCGCAAAAGGGGATCACGTGACACCCCCACCCCCAGGACACTGCGACCGTCATAAGCATGAGTCAGTTGCCAAGTGTCTGATCCCCATGATCATGTGACCATGGGAATGCTGCAACGATCCTATGAAAAACAATCGTAAGTCATTTTTGTAACCTCAAACAGTCACTAAATGAACCATAGTATACCGAGGATGACCTGTAGTGTGTGTTTTTTTTTAAAAAAAAACACCTTTCTGAATCCTCGGAGAATCTTCCAGGTCAGTGAGAAAAGGCTGAAATGGGCTCCCTATTCAACAACGTCAACGTCAACTTTTCCTATAACGATAGGCTTAACTGTGAGATGTGGCCAGGATTATTGATGAATAAATCTTGGCTTCTATCTTAGGGTTCTTAAGATGCCCGTTCTTTGGGATCCCTCTTAACAGCCAAGAAGGAAGTGACCTCTATTGTTCAACCGGGGGGCTCTCGAAATATCCAGCCCCTCAGAAATTGTGACTGTTGTATATTTTAATATGTTGTTTGTGTATTATTCCCCCTCCCTTGTTTTATTGTAAGCCGCCCGGAGTCCTTCGGGAGTGGGCGGCATACAAATCAATAAAACTCTAAACTCTAACCTTAGGCTGCTCTCNTCAGGAACCTTTCCTCTCTAAAGTTTGGCTAAAATCAAAGCAAGAGCGCTACCCTTGGTTTGATGTTCAGCGATGTGCACAAGGCGGGGTGGGCTTCAAAAATTTTAGCAAGGGGTTCTCTGCCTGGTTGCTGGGTGGGCGTGGCCATGGTGGGCGTGGCCTAGGCAGCCTCCTGCACCACGGTGGGTTTGCGTGTGTGTTTTTGCCCTCCTCTGGAGGCTGAAACCACCCCGTTTCCGGCCTTCGCGAACTTCCGCTAGGCCTGTTTCCTCCCCCCCCCCAAAAGCCTCCATGTGTGCCCTGCATTTATCTGCTTCCAAAACAGGCCACGTGGGGAGGGGTGGAGCAGGGTGGGCGGGGACAGCTAGGAGTGGGGTTTGGGGGGGTTCTCCAAACTGCACAGAATCTTAGCTAGAGGTTCTCCCAAACCCCTGCGAACCCCCCCCCCAGCTGCCCACCCCTGCGCCCTGTTGCAACCTTATTGAATAGGGAGAGTTTTGCAATATTTTTCTGGCCATCAAACCAACTGGTCCTGGAAGCAAGATGGATTAATGGCGGGGGGGGGAGGCAAGAGGAGAGATTTCTGAAATAGGATGAATTTGACTCTGAGGAAAGACAAAAGATGCCAGAGGCAGAGGGGGAAGGAGAGCATTTTCAGGAGATATTTTTCCTTCCATTTTTTTTTTAAATGCACTTTTTAAACATGATTCGCCTTCCCGGAAGACATTCCAAAGTGAGTGGCTCTTGTAAACCCCCCCCCCTTTTGTGGTTTTGACACATTTTATTGAAGGGATTAAAACAAGCCATTACAGCGGGTGGAAAAATGCAAAGAGTTCCCATGGGTCATTTAGCCCAGACCACCTTGAAGCCTGAAAAATCACTTGGAAGAAGAAAAAAAAAACAGCTGTGTAAGTTTTCTTCACGGTGAACCTAAAATAATAATGAATGGAGGAAAGCAGTCTTCTTTGGAAAAGTCGGTTCAGGTTGATTACGTTTTCCGGTCTGCGTGATGGTTCTCCGAGGAGATTGCAAAGCACGATAACGATCTGACTTTTAAAAAAAAACACCTGCCGTTGTGATACACCGTTTTTGTGCATTTGCATTTTGCACGCCGGGTAAGAAAAGGGACATGGATATCTTTTCAGAGCCCGCAAATCAATCAATCAATCCCTTGCATCATAAGGGCCGTGTGCCACCAGGGGTGGGCTTCAAAAATTGCAGCAGCCGATTCTCTGCCCTATTGTTGGGTGGGTGTGGCCATGGTGGACGTGGCGATGTCAGCCTACTGCACCACAGGGGGGGGGCATTTTTTGCCCTCCCTAGGCTCCGGAGCCTTTCTTCGAGGCTCCGGGAGAACAAAAACTGCTTTCCCCGCACTCCAGAGGCCCTCCGGAGGCCACAAACAAGCCAGGAGGGGCCAGCCAGGGGTGGCATTAGGGCAGAGGTGGGTTCCTACCAGTTTGCACCTATTCGGTAGAACCGCTTCATCAAATCTACCGAACCGGTTAGAAGAGGTTCCACCAGTGGACCCGGAAAGCAGGCCACACCTACAGAAGAGGTTCCAAAAATTTTTGAAACCCACCACTGGTCCTTGGATAGGATTATTCTACACTATTATGCTCCTATTTATAAAACTCAGTGCCTCTGTGAAAGGTAAGGATGGCTACTGCATTTGTGGTGCAATCAGAACATTGTGTGTGTTGAAGTTGTTTTAACGCAAACCAAAGATGCCTTTTAAAAAACAAGTTTACATCATATTCTTATGCTGTGTGCGAGGTAATTTAAGGTGGTTCTGACAAGTGTCGCCAGCATCTTCATATCCGGTCACATGGGCAGCAAGCCACTCCCATCCGGTCACATGGGTGGTAAGCCATTCCCATCCAGTCACATGGGCAGCAAGCCACTCCCACAAAGGAGGCCACACCCACAGAGTAGGTTCGAACAATTTTTGAAACCCACCACTGCATTAGGGGGTCCATCCAACTGGGCAGAATCCTAGTTAGAGGATCGCCCAAACCCGTGTGAACCCCCAGCAACCTACCCCTACACCCTTTATCCATCCCCAGTAGATTGTAGTATTTTTCAGAAGCTTGGAAACAGATCACAAATTCCAGAAGGCTTCCATCCAGAGTTGCAACCTGTCCCGTAAATCAGTGTTTCTCAACCTTGGCAACTTGAAGATGTCCGGACTTCAACTCCCAGAATTCCCCAGCCAGCGAATGCTGGCGGGGGAATTCTGGGAGTTGAAGTCCGGACATCTTCAAGTTGCCAAGGTTGAGAAACACTGCCGTAAATGGATGACTGTACAGGAACTACGATAACTCTCCCAATATCTATCCTTGCTTTATCCATAATGCTTTCCACCAAGACATTCCCAAACACGGGAGAAATTTCCTAACAATAAGGACAATTAACCAGTGGAGCGACTTGCCTTCAGACGTTGTGAGTGCCCCAACACTGGAGGCTTTTAAGAAGAGACTTGTCTGAAATCGCAGAGGGGCTCCCGCTTGAGCAGGGGGCTGGACTAGAAGGCCTCCAAGGTCCCTTCCAACTCTCTTATCTGTGTAGAACAATGAGAGGCATTCAGTTAACCATCTGGGAGCACCCTGCTCTTTATGATATGATTTTATTGAGTGTAGGGCTATCGTCCTTTGGCGGCTGGTTCTTACATGCCACCTGCTGGAGGAGGAGAGGATGCAGAATAGGGGCCTCCA